AATCTTTGCAGCAAGTTTCTCTGATAAAGGTCATATTTCTAAGAAACATAGGGACGTGATCTAAATGAATAAGAATAAAAACCATTTCCTAATTGATGAGTGGTCAAAAGATATGAACAGGCAGTTTTCTGAGGAAGAAATCCAAGCTATCAATAGCCACACACACAAAACGCTGTGAATCACTAATAACTAGAAGCAATTTCTACAACAGCATTTTAAAGACAAGCAACTTCACAAGACTAAGGAAGTCGGAGTCCGGTCCCAGTGATCAGCCGCATGGATCATCACTTTGCCTACTGATAAAGAAGGCGTGGACTCCAAGTGCAGATGGAGATGGATGGGGGGGGGGACGACGACATGATCATTGTGGGCATTTATTTTGCTTGACCACACAAGGGATTTTGGGTTTTTTTTATTTTTCAGTGGGAGTGAGGTGGTTGAGGGAGAGAACTCGAACCTGGAAATAAAATTAAATTGCGTTCGCCTCCATAGAAACATGTATGTTCTGGTATAGCCCCACATCCCCAAATGTCTCCGGCTTTCTGCATCTTAACCTCCAGGGGCAGAAAGAACGAAGGAAGTGCTTTGTTGCTTCTTTATTCTTTGAGATTTCTGATTTATTGCAGCTTTGATCATTGTTCTCAAGTCTTTCAAAAATATTCTAATTGTATATATTGTTCTCCTCACTTTGCTCTTCAACACTTCACAAAGCATCTTAACAATGCCTGACTGATGATCATACTTTAAGGTGCACTAAGCGCTTTACAGATGTCTCATTGGATCCTCGCCACAGTCTTCAGAACTAGGTGCTATCATTAAGCCCATTTTATAGATAAGAAAACTGAAACATAAAAGTGGTTAAGTGACTGGCCCAGGGTCACACACCTAGGACATGTCTGAGCTAGCACTGGAACTCAGCTCTTCCTGGCTCCAGGTCATACACGCTATCCTCCACATGAACTCGTTTCCTCTGAAATCGTTCATCTCATTATCTTAGTCTAAGGGCACAATGATTATTCATTATATTCATATACTAGTTTGTTCAGCCATTCCCCAAATATGGCACCCTGTCAGCTTTCAGTTTTCCCTCGGCACACAAAGCACCTTTTTCTGGGCTCTCTTTGGCACTGCTTGCCGGGTCCCGGGGCGTGTGTGTAGGGGCGGGGCGGGGCGGCCATTAGGAATGTTCTGGGCATACCAGCTCACAGCTCCGCCGACAGCGCACAGCCCCTTAAGAATGTGGCATTTTCTTTTTTTGGTCTTCTTTGTCAACCTCCCAGTTGTTCAAATGTGCATTTCTCTCTATATATTCATCAAAGAAACTAGTGCAGAATTTTTTCCCAAGGTATTTGTTACCCATCCTAACTTGGGGTACAAGAGAGACAGTTAGGACTCGAGAAGATGGCCACATATAAATCTGGGGATCTATTAAAGAAGTGGAAATTTCTTGGGGATCCGGGTTTCTTTGGTGGGGTCGTTGTTCCCCAGCTCTCCCCCCCACCCCCATCCCTGGCTGGAAGTCCAGGTCAGGTGAAGCAGGGATGACCAGAAGTGCCCTGGGCAAAGGTTGGCGGGGCTTGGGGACTGGAGAGGCAGGGAAGGAGGGAGGGGCGGAGCGGGCCTCAATCAGTGAGTTCCCTCCGAGTTTTTCTCCATTCCGTACCTAGGCTGAAGGGCCATGGAGGCCGCACCCAGGTTTGGACCAATCAGCGACGGTTCCTGTGGCACTCCCCTTCCCATTGGCCTCCGCAGCTTCCTTGGGCGGGAGGAGGACCACAGGAAGAGGTCATAGTCTTCCCCTTGAGGAAGGGGAATCTAGGCCAATCAGCAGCGGCTCCGTTGGCCTTTGCCCCGCCCATCGGCTCCCGCGACTCCTTGGGCCACCACCTTCCTCCACAGCTCCCCCCCCCCGCCCCACCCTGGGTCTGGCCCAATCAGCGGCGGGCCCTCAGCCCCTACACGCTGCCCGTTAGTTGTCTTGCCTCTGAGCGCAGAGAACCACACGCACAAACTGAGCTGTGGCGGCGATGCGAGGCATCCGGAACCTGCAGGTAGCCGTGGTCTCCTCGTGCCCTCGGGCCGGCTGGGCGAGAGGAAGGGCCGAGGAGGACACCCCCTACCCCCAACCCCGATCTCCAGGCCCGATCGATTCGGGGGCTTGTGGGTTACAGCCCAGCCGCCGCGCCGTTGGCCTGGTCACCTTGCTTAGCCTCAGTTTCCCCTCAGCAAGCCAGGAGCTCTACGGTTCTGTGTGATCGGAGCCTTGCTGGCCCCAGTGACTGGGACCAGATGGAGCCACCTCCGCTGCCTCCTCCCCTTCCTCTACCTCTCCGCAGCCAGGGATGGGGGGAGGGGCAGCTCCCCAGCTCAGCTCCTTAAATCCTTAGATCTCAGCCTCCCTCCCCACACCCCCGATGCAGAAGCCCGGAGACGGCCTGGCTATTTCTCACTGAGCGATTCGTGCAGGGCATGGTTGGCGTGGTGACAGGAGGGGCATCAGGCCTGGGCCAGGCCACCATCCGAAGACTGGTCAAACATGGGGCCCAGGCCGTCATCATGGACTTGCCCCACTCATCTGGTGAAGCCCTGGCAAAGGAGCTGGGGGCTTCTTGTGCCTTCACCCCCACCGATGTATGTCTGCGTCTGCTTCCCCGCCACACTCGAGGTGGGAGGGTGGGCAGGGGGCTTCCCAGCTCATGGTGGTTGGGAGAGATTCAAGAGGCCTGGGCTTTCCTGCCAGAAATCCTGGAGGCAGGCCTGCTCTGCCTTGGGCAACTAGCTGATGCTTCCCCTCCCTCTTCTTCCCGGTCAGGTAACCTCTGAAGCAGATGTACAGAGGGCCCTGACCTTGGCCAGGGAGAAATTTGGCCGGGTGGACATTGCCGTTAATTGTGCTGGCATAGCTGTGGCCTCCAAGACTTACAACTTCAAGAACAGTCAGGCACATTCCCTGGAGGCCTTCCAGAAGGTGATCCAGGTATGTCAGGGAAGGGGGTGGGTCCTGAGCCCTGACCCCTGCCCTCGGATCCCAGTTCTCCACTCCCTGGCTCTCCTACTACTCTGCCTTCTGGGAGAGTTAGAAAGGATCCTGGGGCCCACAAATGCAGCCAAGTCCCTCATGTGACAGAGGGCCAAACTAAAGCCAAGGCTCCTTAACTCCCAAAGGCTTTCAAGCCCAGGTCATATGAGCCCAAAGATACTACCACTGAGTTCTTCCTTCCCGCTTCCTCCCAGGTAAACCTAATTGGCACCTTCAATGTGATCCGACTCGCTGCTGGGGAGATGGCCAAGAATGAGCCTGATGAGGATGGACACCGGGGTGTTATCATCAACACGGCCAGCGTGGCTGCCTTCGAGGGCCAGGTATGCCAGCCACTTCGATAGCCAGCATGATGAGGTTGGGGGCCCCCCCGGCCTCCTTGGTCACAGCTGACTTGCTTTCACCCCTTGTTCCCAGGTTGGCCAAATTGCATATTCTGCGTCCAAGGGGGGCATTGTGGGGATGACTCTGCCTGCAGCCCGGGACCTAGCCCCCATGGGGATCCGGGTGGTCACCATTGCTCCAGGTAGGGCTCTGGTATCTCCCCAAGGTCCCTTTCAACCCTGCTGCTGGCCCCAGGATGAGCCAACTCTAAACCTGTCTCAGAGGACTGAAAGGGAGAATATACCCTAAAGAGGTCATCAAACCCTATTTGACAGAGGGGGAAACTGAGGGTCAGGGAAAGGGAGAGCCTTGGCCAAAGTCAGAACTCATGGGACAGAGGCTAGCAGGGCCTCAGACAGGGGTCATCCAGTTTGGAAACCCACTTGTCTTGGAGTACTGCAGTGGCTCGATAAATGGTGGCTATTGTTATTTTTCCAGGCCTGTTTGAGACACCCCTCCTGTTGGGACTCCCTGAAAAGGTCCGCTCCTTCCTTGCCCGTCAAGTGCCCTTCCCCAACCGCCTGGGAGATCCAGCAGAATATGCCCATCTTGTGCAGACTATCGTAGAAAACCCCCTGCTCAATGGTGAGGTGATCCGTCTGGATGGAGGTATCCGCATGCAGCCCTGATGCTCGAAGCCTAGGCTCTGGGCGCCTACCCTGGCCTCTCTCAGACAACAGGGGCACCAGGGCCTCTGCCTTCAATGCCTTCACCTCTGGTGCCTAATAAAGGTCATTTCTCTGGGCTCTGTGGGACAGCAGGGCTGGAGAGGAGCACGTGTTAGTGACACAGTGTGGATGCCCAAAGTCACTTTATTTGCCCACCGTCGCCTGGGTCCTCAGCGGCTGCTGGTGTTGAACTGGAGGTGGAAGTGGGCCGTGGGCTGGTTGGTGTATACTGCTTTGTCCAGGTGGTCCCTCCTGAAAGGCAGAGTAGGTGTCAGCTCCCGACCCCTGCCCGAACCCCGGGCCCAGCCGCCTCCTTCCTCACGCACTGAGCCTGCTGCTCTCGGGCCAGCTGCTTGTTGTACGCGTCGAGGTCCCGCCGCAGCTTCCGTGCTTGCACCTGCTGCTTGTGTTTCAGCTGGCAAGCAGCCCAAGCAGCCAACTGATCCTGGAGGGCCCACTTGGCTTCCAGGCGCCACTCGGCCTGCCGCCGGCGCTGGGCCTCGAGGTGCTGGGCTGCCTGCTCCTTCTGGATGGCAGCTGTTTGCTCAGGGGTCATGCCCTTCCAGTGCTCCAGGACCACCCGATGTGGGACCAAGGGGTTCGAGGAGACAGAAGGGTTCTCTGTCAGCATGTCGCTGGTCAGGTGATTGTAGATCTCATTGAGGTTGTCATCCTGCTCCCTCTGGCGGGCCAGACATCGCTGTGCCTCCACCTCTATGGCCTGGGTGGGGGAAGGGTGGCAGCTCAGGGTTAGGGTTTGCCCTAACCGTTGCCCCAGGGCAGCTGCTGAGGCTCAGAGAGTGGAAGGGGTTTCCCCGAAGTGACCTAGGCTGGACTGTGGCCCCAGAATTGGCATCCTCACCCAAACCCTCCTCAAAGCCAGGGAGCCCCCTTTTCCCTAGACTGAGGCCCCTTTGGAGTATGGTATGTGGAGTCCTCCTGCAGCAGGGTCTGCCCTTCTGCCAGCCCTGAGCGGCATCAGGCCAGGGGCAGGGAGGAAGAGGAGTCGGTCTGGGCTCCCAAGCACAGTTTCTGAAAGCTTGGATTTGAGTGTGTAGGCAGGGTGGGGAGCCATGGCACCTGAGCCCTGTTGTAATTAGCCACAGCCACAGCCATGGCTTTTCGGCAGGCAGCTTCCAAATCCTCCAGGTGAGTGGCTCGAAGATCCATCTCTATCCGCTTCCGGTCATCTAGAATCTCTGTAGGGAGGGAGGGATCTGCTGGTCAGCAAACACATGTTTGGGGCAGGGTCCTAGCTTCAGCACCAAGAGCACAAAGATGAAAAACACCGCAAAACCCCTCAAAGACTTGGTGGAAAAGGGGGCAGCCTGGAAAGTAGCGAGCATAGGGAGAGTAGCAGAGGGCTCCTAGTGGAGACTCGCCTATATTTTTAGTTGAGGAAATGGAGGCAGACAGAAAGGAAATGACTTGGCCAGTAAGTGTCTGAGGCTGGTTTGAACACTGGGCCTAATTTCAGGCCCAGCATTCCATGCACTGTGGTGCCCCCTAGCGGCCACAAGGCCTCAGTTGAGCCTGGGAACAGCTAGGTAAGCTGAGGCCCAAAGAGGGGTAAACTAGCTTGTGGCTATGGTCTACTCTGTGTCTTCCCTGAACAGAATCCTGGAAAGCCCTAATTCTGATACTTCATAGCCATGTGACCTTGGGCGAGTTACCTGGCATCTCCCAGCCTCAGTTTGCCTTTCTGCCAAATGGGCATGATGCTAACTGCTGTTCCAACCTTCCAAAGGTCCAGTGAGTAGATGGCGAGGGTTGAGCACTGTATTGAGGGGTAGGGCCCCAGGAGCTAGTCCAGCTAGCTGGCAGTGCCTCGCCAAGGTTATGCAGGCAGAGCTGGGGTCTGTGCTAGCCATTCTGGGAGTATCTTCTCCTACCACACATCCCAGGTTGGCGGAGAGAGAGAAGGAAAGGCCCTTCCCCATCTATGCCCCCATCCCCCTGCAGATGGAAGGGGGCTGCACCCCCTTCGACTGGCTGTCCGCTGCGGTCTGCTCACTACTCTCACCTGAGTACTTCTCATCCCTCCTAGCCTGACGCTGCTCTTCCTGCTGACGGCTCAGTTCACGACGGGCCTGTTCGCGTTGTAGGCGCTGGCGGGTAGCTTGGCCCAAGTCTTCCCCAGCAAAGCGCTGCATGCTGGAGGGCCCACAGTGGGGGTCCAGGTCGCCCACTCGGAGTGGCTTCTTCCGAAGCCTTGCTGGGTCAGACAGGTCAAAGTCTCGGCGGTCCTGGGGCTGCTGCTCCCGCTCACGGAAGGCCTGTGCTTGCTGGGTTACCTGCCGGGCATGCTGCAACTCCTCCTTCTCCAGCAGCTGGGTCACCAGGTCACACTGGACCCGGCTGGCATCTGCAAGGGGAGGATTACTGGTGGTTATGGGGCCCAGGACCCAGGCCCTTCCTGTGCACCCTCTCCAGGGCTCTTACCAAAGGCTGCCTCACGAGCCCGCTCAGCATCTTCTCGCCTTTTCTGCTCCTGCACTTGGTTCTTCAGGGTTTCACATCCACCTGCCATAGATCATGGGATGGTCCCACCCCACAATCCCCAGCACTCTGAACTGCTTGCTGGGATTTGGATGGGCCCTGTCCCACCCTCCACCTGCTAAGATGGGGTGGGTTGGGTCAGTTCTTTCCCTCCATGGAGCTTGGGGCCTTGGACAGAAAGGGAGAAAGGGAAAAGAGGCAAGAGGCAGCAGGCAAACAGTCTCTAAGAAATAGAAGCCCAACTTCTGGTCTGGGCTCTTCTAGCACCTCACTGTGAGACATTGGCCAAGTCACACTCTCTAAGCCTCAGCTTCCAGCTCTCCAAAACAAGGGGACTGAATTAGATGCTGAACTGTTCTTGGGAGAGGGGGGAAGTGCCCCTGGGCCTGGGCCTAATTCTGGTCACATTTCCTATTTCTGGTCCTCTTCCTAGGCTTGGGCCGGGTCATATCCTTCTTTCTGGTCTTATTCCTACTTCTGGGCCTAGTCCGGGGCCTGGCCTCGATCCTCTTCCTAGTCCCAAGATGGTTCAGTTCTGGCATCTTAGGGAAGCTCACCCCAATTACTCGGTTCCGAACATTAAAGATTCGGCTCTGCCTCTGTTTCTCCTGGTTCCTTCGGGCTTCAGTGGCCACAACATGCTTCTGCTCTGGTTGGATGTCTACCTTATACATTCTGACTTGAGACTGAAAGAGACAGGAGCACTTAATGGCTACTCGAGATCATGTAGTCGATTCAACAAACAGTAAACACCTACTATGTGCTAGGCACAGAACAGATGAAACAGCCTCTGCCTTGTTAGGAACTGGAATTCTTTCAGGGGCCACAACTTTTACACTGGTAAGGAAATACCAAGTCATTTCAAGAGGGAGAGCCCACTAAGAACAGGGGTGAAGAGAAGCACGGGGGAGGGAGACGTTTCTCTCCAGTGGATCAGCCACTTTGTTTGCACATAATTGGTGGCATGTCATCTCTGCCATTAGAATGGGGCTTCCTGCAGGGCAGGCACTGATTTTGTCTTTCTCTGTATCCTCAGGTCGGCCCTGTGCCCTTACGCTGCTTGAAGGCAGTGGCCCCTATGCTGTGCTTTGAAGGAAGGGGAGGTGGAATCGAGGCAGAGTTTGGGACTTGTTGGGTTTGAGATTGCCATTGGTTGGCAATGACTTGGTGGCTCTGAGGTGTGACATGTAGCTAGAGTGAGCAGTGGGCCCAGCATAGAGCCTTGGGGGGAGCCAGATTTGGACAAGGACCACCCCTGAGTCAGGTGGGAGGAGAAGGGATGAACCAAGATGGGCAGCAGTGAGCTGAGGCTAGAGGAAATGCCCCTGATTTCAGGTGGGCTCACTTTGGACGGGGCAGTTTAATTTGAGTGGGGAGGTTGAGAGCCAGCCTGCAGTTCCTATCCTCAAGCATACCTCTCAGGTTGTTGGCGTCTTTTTTCAAGACTCAGTTTAGGAGTAAATTTCTGCGTGAATGTCCTTCCGCAATATTCTACAAACACTCTTAGTCCAGTGTCTATTTTACAGAGAAGGCAAGAGGAATGAGCCCAAAGTGAGTCCTGCCTCCAAACCCAGCTGAGGGTTGGGTTCAAATCCTCACTGGGTCTTTGACAGCTTTGGTGCTGGGCAAGCCCTCGATGCCCTCCCCTAGTCAGTGTCTCTCAGAGGGCCCTTTCAGCCCTAGGCCTGGCCTTCCGTGATCTGCTTGAAAGTGTCCCCATGACGGAAGGCAGGTTTGTGCGGAGAGTGGGGGGAAAGGGGACGTGTTGGAAGTTGGCCCCCAGATAAGCAGTGCCCCATGCCCATCCATACGGCCCTGCTCTTCTCCAGGCCCCCAGGCCAGCTCCCCTTCTCCCTCCCTTCCCCCCCACTCCGTGTTCTCGCCCCCAGCCCATCCATCTGTCCTCCCCACCAACGCCCTCACCTCCCCAGTGGGCTTGCTCCGACGCCAAGGAAGGCTTTCTTCTGAAGTTGAGGAAAAGAGACGAAGCGTCTCTCTGTTGCCATGGCAACGAAAGACGGGCTGATGCGCGTGCTCGCGCTCGGGCTGGAACCCGGGAGTCCGGAATCCCCCCCCCCGTCCCCGCCCCTTCTGGCCCGCCAGTCTAGCGCGTGCACGCCAACAAGGCAAAGAGCGCGTTGAGTCGGTGTCGAGAGAGGAGGTCCTTCGGCTTCGCCCTGCTCCCTTGCGCACGCGCAGGCCGAGAACTCGTCCGGGAGTCGGCGTCCCGGCGTCTCGCCGGTTCCTCACTACCCAAATGAGCACGCGCGCGGCTCCTCTCGCGCTGCTTGGTCGGCATTCGCGATCACCGGGCCCGGCTTTGCGCGGGTTTCGCTGTCTCCGTGGGCCCCGGCGGTCGCGGGCTCTCTGGAACTGCTCCAGATGGAGAACCCCAAGGCCCGCGAGGGGCAGCAGATCACCGGGCCCTCCCAGAGGTTCGCCGTCATCACCGGCTCAGGTAGGGCTTAGCACGACACGACCCCTGGCCGGAGTCGCAGATGGTCCGGTCCTTCCCCCCCCCCCCGCGGGCCCGGCCTAGGTGGTACGGCCGCCAGAGGGGCCCCACCTCCCTGCCGGAGTTCTGCGCTTGCGCGAAGTTCTGGAGCGGTGGAGGGGGCCTCCACCCCACCCCCCCGGCTGCGGGAGCCGGGTCAGGGGGCGCACACGTGGCTTTCGTTAAGAAAATGACTTGTGGGGTGCTCGCCGTCCCCGAGACTGAGCTTAGAGAGAGGGATGGGCCGGGGAGAAGGGCTGACTCTCACCGGGAGGTATCTGGGGGGCCTTGACTCCCCATCCAAATTCAGCACCCCCAGAAAGTCTCGCCTTTGATTCCCCCCTCCCCCCTTCCACGGACCAGCTCCCACACTCCAATAAGGCTGCCCGATCCTTAGGCTTCTTCATCAACAGCAGGGCACTTAGACCCTTGCCTTGATGGCCCCAGGGCCACAGCACTCCCTCCCCCTCCCCATTTCCCAGACTCCCCCAGCCTTACCCGGGACACCAGGAAGTTGGGAGCCTTGAGGTTTCATCTCCCCCAGTTTCCCCAGCTCCACCGTGGGGCCCCTTGGAAAGCAAGATGGAGTTGGGAAGGAACTCCTTGACCAGTTTGGTCCCATCTTTAGCCTTCCCAACAAATGAGTCAGATAGTCAGATGGGCTCTCCGGGAAGACCTGTGAGGAGGACAAATCCCACACCTTGAATCGTTTGGGACGTTGGCCTGACTTTAAGCCTCAGTGGGAAAGGCTGAGGAAGACGCCTGATCGCTAGGCCGAGGCCAAGCTGGAGGATGACAACAGTGTGAGTCACTCGGGGGGCAGGGACCATCCACTGTGCCGTGGGCCTACATCAGCCGGAATAATTAGAACAGCTGTGAGATGGAGAGCAACCTGGCAGATGAACGTGGATGAGGTGGAAGCTGAGGAGAAAGAGAAGAAGGAGGGGATAGAGTCAGAGGAGAAGGGAAGAGATCAAACGAGGCTGGGCCTGCCCTGGCTAGATGAGCCCAGAGAGGAGAGAGCAACACTTGGAATCGAGGGCCTTTGGGCCCCAAACATGGGAGGGTTCCAGTCAGTTACCCATATCTCTGGACCTATTGCCTTCTCTGTAAAAGCAGATGATCGAACTAAGTAATGTCTAAAGGTCCCTTCTATCTCATTCATTCTCTCTCTCATTCTCTGTATCTGTCTCTTCAGAACACAGGTGTGTGTATATGTGTGTGTGCGCACATGCCCATACCCACACACCCCAAACACCTGAAAAATTAACCCTAAATATATGCCATGTGTACAATATGCCGTGTGTGTAGGCTAGACACTAAGGATTTGGGGAACTTAGAGGAGGAAGAAGTAATTGGGGGGGGCAGCTAGGTGGCTCAGTGGATAGAGCACCGGCCCTGAAGTCAGGAGGACCTGAGTTCAAATCAGGCCTCACACTTAACAATTACTAGCTGTGTGACCCTGAGCAAGTCACTTAACCCTAATTGCCTCACCAAAAAGCAAAAACAAAGCAAAAAAAGAAGAGGCAAGCCAGGCTGGGCCCAAGGGACAGAAACTTCCTCAGCTGGGCCTGGAATACTGAGGGCTCATTGTGCTGTTAGAGAGGAGATGTTCAGAGACCTTCTGAGGTCCCATGTTGGACTCTTGAATGTCGGGAAGCCCTTCACACAAGTTTCTCCCTTGGCCATCATCATCATCTCTAAGGGTTCTTTGCCAATTTTCCAATTCAGAATGGAGGTGGTCCCTGGCATCCATCTGGAGCTCATGCCATTCTGCCCTCTCACCCTGTGGTGGGAGTGGCTCCCAGCAACTGTCCAACATTTATGCCTGGGAAGCCATCGAGATTGGTTATTGATTCGAGGACCTGAAGGGGAGGGCCCCCGGGCTGGGAGGCAGCTTCCTGCATACCTGCTTATGTCTGAGTAGGACTGTGTTTTCCCATTCCCCCATCCCATCCTTCTGCCATGACCAGTTCTTTTGAGGTACCTCTCCCCTCCAGAAGGCGGGAAACAGCCAGTGCCTTGTGAAGCCAGGCCAGGCAGGGTACTAGGGCTTAGTGCTTTCTGGGAGGAGAAGCCAGGGCTTGGCCCAGCCCAGCTGCCTCGGTGGCACCAGAGAGGCCAGGGCTGACCTTCTGCCTCTGCCAGCTGGGCCTAGAGCTTGCAGGACACTTGGACCAAAATGATCAAGGAGGAGGGGAATGCTTTGAGCAGCAGAAATTGACTGGGCATATTTAGGGTAGAAACAGTACATTTTGGCCCCTGACCTGAAGAGTGTGACAAGTTCCAGGAGACATCAGATGGTGAAGGAGGCACAGGCACCAGCTAGCTAGTTCAGAGTACTACCTCCGAGAAGCTCAAGGGCTTATTGGTGGAAGAGGCATCAGCCTGATTCTTCTTGGCCCCAGAGGGCCAGACCAGGAGCCTTGGTCCAAGGATGGATCCAGCAGAGAGAGTGGGCCCAGACAGTGTCCACAGGCCTTCTGGAAAGCTGGGTTGGCCTGGAGAATTTGACAGTTTTGCCTCTTGGCTTTCTCTCCTCCATATTTCTAGCCCTGCCCCCCCAGTGCTTTAGGGGTCTCCAGAGCAGGCCAAAAAGGCAGATCAGAAAGGAGCTTCGATAGTCTGAGGGGAGAACAGGACCTTCCAGAGTGAGTATGTTACCAGGGCCTATGGGGGGAAGAGGTCACTGGCTTCTTTTTGCTTTTAGTTTTTTTTCTCTCTAGCAAGGGGACTGTTATCATCAAGGTGTTATCAGCAAGGCCTCACCCGCTCCCCAGATGCCAACCCTGACAAGCAGTAGTGCATCCTGGCTTTGTGTGGACAGCAGAGCAGCAGAAGGCAGACCTGGAGCCAGGCAAAGGGGTCCAGGGACTCCAAGCTGTAGACCAGGGCTTCTGGCCTTGTTGATGTCATTTGGCAGCAAATCCTGGCCTGTGTGCTGAAGCCATCCCTGTGAGTGGGCCATTCCTGTCTTGGCGTGGGGTGGGAGGAGCCTGTGGCCTCCTGGAGGGTCATGTCTACCCTGAAATAAAGTTGGAAATCGTTCTTTTAGATGGAATCCAATGCCAGTTTTCATTCATAAGCAGTCCAAAAATGAGAGGCAGTGGGTAGTTCCCCATATCTAACCCTGAGGTTTCCAAGGAGAGGGCCTGATGACCACTTAGAAGGAAAACAAAGTCCCATATAGATAGGGCTTGGACTCAATCTTAGTTCCCTTCATTGATCAGGGAGATTCTGAGACCATGATGGGAGGTAGCACATCCTAGGCCCAAGTCTGCCCTGAGCTGCCTGACTTTGGCCTCCTGAGCCCTGGATCCCTCAGGGAAGGAACCCTGGGCTAGACTACAGCCTGAGGAGGAGGAGGCAGGTGGGAAGACCTAGTGGCCTGGGGTCAGGACTCAGCAGGTTCTAAGCCCCATCAGCCTGGAGTGAGGTAGATTGAGGAAGTGACCTGGGGCCTGAGGGACAGAAGGGAGCTCCCCTTCCCAGGACCTTGAAAATTTCTCCTTGTGGATTTGCAGTTTGAAGATTGGGACTGGCTCCTGATAGGAGCAGCACTAGGGTTGTGCCATATTGCTGTCTAAGGCCTTTTGTCCCTTTCAAAGGACACAGCAAGTTAGGTGGGCCTAAGGCCTCCTCTGACAGGGGCGGGGGGGGGGGGGGGAGGGGAGGAGCCAGGCCTTTGCCTTTTCCTGCCAGGCTGAGGGCCCAGTGGTGGGATTCAGGGAATGAGATATGGGGCCTTCCTGTCTGGGACCTGCAGGGTTAAAAATCCCTCTCTGCCAAGTTCTTTGGAACCCATTGTCATGGGAACCAGTTTGGCAGCCTAGCCAGTGTTCAGAGCTAAGGTGGGGGTTGGAGGTTGGGGGTGGGGTGGATGGGCAGGCAGTGGGTGGCTTCTGGTTTCTTCTCTAGGAACCACAGGGCCTGTGAGCTGGAACTCTCTTCTGTTCTGCCCCGCCCTGCCCAACCCAGGACTGCAGAACACAACATCAATAAGATTGGCAGTCCTCGGGTAGAATCTCAGAACACACTGGCTGACCAAGAAAGGATCTTGGAGGCCTCTACTCTGACTCCTTGGTTTTAGTGAGCTTGGGGAAGGGACTTGATCAAAATCACACAGCAGTTAATGAGTATCTCAGTGGCTGAGCTGAGCTGAGCCTAGACCGGTGCCCATATTTGACTTTTTCCTAGGGATTTCCTGCTTGTAGTTTGTCCCTTTGGAGCCTTCAAGAAACAGACCATGGGCCACCTTGTCTTCTCTGCCTGCCAACCAGCAGCCTGAGCCTTGTTATCCTTCACAGCTCCATCCTGGCTTGACCCTGTGCCCTACCCCCATATCCCCTAGCAGCTTTCCCTGCCTTGGGCCAAAGTCACCCATCTAACTCACTAGAACCCACCCACAAGCCAGCAGCACTGCTGCTCCCCCTCTCTTCCCTCCCCCCCTCCTCTGTAGCTGGTCATGTGGGTAGGCAGGCAGGCAGGCTAGGATGCCAGGAGGCATTGACATGCCTGCACACGTGTGTGTGTGTGTGTGTGTGTGTGTGTGTGTGTGTGTGTG